CGTTGGCTCGTCATTTCCAACGGCCGCTCTCTGCTGTGTCGGATACGGTGCAGATAGGTCGTACGCATATATAGTGAAACGCAGCGCGTAATTATCTCGGAAATCGCGTAGAAGATTTCAACCGCACCCAGAGGAAGAAAGAAAGAGCTGCATCGGCTGTGCCCACGCTTGCAAGCCCGATAAGGAGGCAGAGAGACATCCAGGTGAGTCATTGGTGACATTGCGCCTATTCAATTTCCACTTGTTTCATTGTTGATGTTTCTTTGTGTCTAAGCAGCTCGTACGTTATAATTCGCCCGCCGCATACATATATACAAACCCGCATCCAGTGGATGGCTATTTACACTCCATACCATTTTTTGGTCCATTCGAGCCGGATTCCTCATAAAGGACTGGATCCTTTATGAGGAATCCGGCTTTTAATACCCGTACCCGCTTTGTAATAATTTCCCGCTTAACTTCTTTCCAAGAGAGGTAGGGCATAGTGGATTTTCCGCTCGAATTGGAGCGCCCGTCTGGGGAAGATACCTCCACCTTACAGAAAACCGCAGTAAAGCTTCACTACCTTTGGTGGTGTTGTGTTTCTGTCGCTGAGTGAGGTTCCAGGGCTCCACGGGGTAGGGGATAGGGTAGAATAGGCAGCGACCGAGTAATCTCCGGTATCACAATTGCCTCCAATTATTATATATATATATATATACATTGTTGACCCGCTAACATTCATATCTATATAATTACTCATTTCATATTTTCACTTTACGTATTAATTGGTAAAGTGACGCATCATACGCATTGCAATTATTGCAAGTCATTTCCCCCATTTTGTTGTACCCGCTATTTGTCTTAAAAAAATGTATAATTGTTTAATTTGAATAACTAGTTTATTATATTGTAAATCATGGCTACTTCACATGAAATTAAATTAAGTTTATTGAACTCAAAAAAGGAGATTATTTTCGAGCGAATAAATCGATTATATAACATGTCGAAAAATATTTTAAATTTCGATTCTCGCACAAATGAATCTTCCTTAAGAGAAACTGAAAGTATCAATGAATTGCATACGAAAGAATCGCTTATCGATGAAATTAATGAGTTATCATTGCAGATTGACTCAGAATTTAAATTTGATTATAAGTGTCTGAGCTCATTTGAGGATTTATATTCAAGTATTATATATGCCCGTAATAAATTGTTGACAAATAAACGTTATAACAACGATGATACGAAAACCGCTAATTCTTGTGCTTCTAATTGCAAAAATAGAATCAAACTTCCGCCTTGAGCTACCCACCTTTGACGGAAAAACTGAGAATTGGCCTATTTTTTATGAAATATTTCGCAATAATGTACATTTAAATACACAGCTGACGGACTCGCAGCGTGTGCAATATTTAATAGGAAAATTAACCCATGGGGCATTAAAGATGACCGCGGGTATTGTACCCACAGGTGATACATGAGTCATTTTCAAAAAAGTTGTACATATAACACAAAGGAAACACAAAGGAATTCGTTATACATGTTACATAAAGGAAATAAAGGATGGTGCAGACTGTTTTTATGTATTCGTCGCGTATATATATATATATATATATTATGAATGTTCACCGATTACTCGAAGACGGCTGAACTGATCGTGATGATTCAAACGTTATTACATCAAGTTTGTAACCAAGTTGGTACCATTTTTTTGAAATTTTGAAATCAGTAGTTTTTTTGAAATCTTGAAAATTCGGTCGGAAATAAAGGAATAGTTTTTTGTCTTTTGACTTTAAAAATTGTAAAATAAAAAAAAACATTTAATATAAAAATATAAACTGACTTCGAATGCACCGTTCCAAAAGGTTTATTTTTTACTCGTTGATTTTTGAAGTCTGTTTTTTTTATAAAATATTTTTTTTGTTGTTTTGTATATTGTGCATAAAAAACAAAGTACTATTATCATCATCATACTTTTATTACTTTTTCCTAGTAAGAAAACAAAACATAATCGAAATAAATGTAATTTGAGACAAAATTAAAATTAAAAAATATTATAAAGCACAATTTAAATTTAAAAGCAAAGTATTAACATCATACCTTTTTTTTGTAACCAAACAAAACTTGTTCAAAATAATTTAAAATAATATGAATCAAAAACACAGAGTGCTTAAAATAATAATCAAAATTTAAATATAAGATATTTTTTTATCACCTCGGATAATTTTAGAGATTGTTCTACTCATGAAAATAAACAACTATTATTATGGGACCAACACTGAAATTAGGAAAAAAAGCTGTTTAAATGTATTCTTAAATTTTGATTAAATATTTTTGCACATTTGTATGGAACAGCTGATCCTTTTTTCGCGATTTCATTGCTGGTCCCATACAAGAAATTGTTTGTTTTTATGAGTAAAAAAATCCCTAAAATTATCCGGGGTGATAAAAAAATACCGTATATATAGGTAACTAAGAAAAAACAAAGAAACATTTTTTTTAGTAAGCTACCAAACTTATTCAAAGTAAATGTGATCTGATGCATAATCCTTTAACGTAAAGTAATTTGACATAGCATTTAAATTTATAATTTTTACAACGCAATCAGCGGGAACTGTGTCTTTGTCAATTTTTTTGTACTTTTAAATATAAGCTGAGGCTTTTTTACAGTTTTTAAAAATCTAATATTATAATAAGTTAAATTTGTTTTAATTTCCACACCTTCTATTACTCCTATGTAATATATCCATTATTTTCTTTCGTAATACCTGACCAGGACACTGTCATTAATATTAAAAATAACATCTTTCATAATTTCTTCAACTTTAGTTTTTCCCTCAGCTTCAGTCTCATTTTCTCTTCTAATATAATCTTTATTTTTAATATCAATTTCGTACTTTTCTTTGGTTACATTGCTCTCTTTTTCTAACGCAAGCTTCTTTTTCTCCATTACCACATCTTTTCCTGCATTCAATCTCAGTTCTTTTTCCGTACTTACTACCTTTTTATCATTAATGCTTTTTGGTTGCACACTTACTGTAGTTGGTTTATAATCAATTGTTTTATTTATTATATCTGTGTTTGGTTCCAAGTAGCTTTCATCAGTACTCTTATCTTTAATTATATTATTATTTTTTTCTGACATATTCCTAATTTCTTTCATCACAATTTCTTCAACAATAGGTGATTTTAGACTTTTTTCTGCGTTTCTTTCTATTTTATCTTTAATTGTTTCTTTTTTGACGCCAGATGTAGATGGAGTATCATGAATGTGCTCTTTGCGTATTTCAATTTTATCTACTTTATTAATCGTAAATGGACCGTAGTTTTTTAAATTGAAATATCTGTAGTTTTCTGGAGTATTTCGAATATCTGATAAAACAGTTACTTTTTTATTGTTAATATTACCTGAGTCTTTTGTTTTATTGATAGCAAGACAATTTTCTTTCGATCCGATTTGTTTTTCCTCCGTGGATCCGATAACTATATTTTCATTTTCTTCAGCTTGGTACTTCTTATCCGAGTCATATTCGTCATCACCATCCCATATACTATCATCTGATTCGGCGTAAGTAATATCAGAATCTACACTAGTATCGGTGTCGTCTGCTCTTATTAATCTTTTTTGAAATGTTTCGAAACGCTTTCTTTTAATAGTCTTATTTTTCTTTTCTCTGTGATCACTATTATATTTTCGCTTCTGTTTTTTCAGCTTTAAGTTATACTCTCGTAACCCGTAACATTTACATGAGAGTTTTCTGCAAAAACAAGCCAGTTTTCTAAATTTAATGGTCTGTGCTTCATCTGTAGTAATAACTTGGTGTATTTTCATAGTATTAGGTACAGGAATCAGCCCCCTCAAATCTATTTCTTGTTCAACAGTTTTCACGTTTTCATCTGATATGTAAAAATACATAATTTTAGACTGGCATTGTGTTAGAATGTCGTATGCAGTTTTTGCGTCGATAATATCTGCACCGTAAGAAACTGTTTTATCCAACGTTCGTTTTACGGCACCACCTACGCCATCCGCGGCACCTTTGCCGTGGGCAGATTCAAAAAAGGTCCAAGTTGATTCCTGAAAACCTAATCTTTTTATCATTTCCGACATCAGATAAAAATTTCCCTTTTGACGGTACTGGGTGGTGGGGCCGTCTGAAAAAAAGTTTATTGTAGTAACTTTTCGTAATGTTTCTTTGACATATTTTAAAACAGGTGTTAAATGTGCCCATATAGCGATAGGACTGTGATTGTTATTAGGCGAAATTGTACAAAATGATTTCTCTTGAAAGCCTTGTTCGTTTTTGTAATAAAGCACTCCAGTGTGCAATGTAAACTGTTGTTTTGATGCACCAAAGTGTGTTGCTTGTACTTCCTCGTTTGATTTGCATAGATAGTTTTCTGAGAAGTCACAATGAACGATACACTCAGTTTCAGATATTGTCTCTTTACATCTTTTGTACATTTTGTAAGCATGATAAACGTTGAAGTAGTGCTTCTTGAACTTCTTGAGTTGATCAGAAAAAGATTTTATTAGAGTTCCCAATGTGCCGTGTATTACGTCTTTGGTAGTTCTTTTTGTGATTTTCTTTTTGTTTTCTTGGTTATTACTTTTCGAGTATTCATATTTTTTTGTCACCCAGGCATTCCAAGATACATTCACATCTTCATTTTTTTGTGTGAGACTAAATGAAAGTGACTTGCTTTCACAACTTTTGCATTCATTGTACATGCATATTTCATTTAACTTGTCACAAACAATGGCTGAAACCAACGTGTCCAGATCATCAGTTTCAAGGACTCCTAGTATTTTTAACTTAAAAGCTAAAAATTTTAAATTTGCATGCTTAACACATGCACATGTGTTTCGTTGGCTTATTTTTGGGTCTAAAATATGAAACTTGTATCTGGTAAATGTTGTATATGATGCCAAACCACCTTCATACTTATACTTCTTATGTAATTTTTCGAGTGAATCTTGTAAATATCTAACTTGTCTTTTATCTTTCCTATGTGTTTTAGTTTCTCTTTTTCCTGCTGTTATCGTCTCTTTCTAAAAATAATTGTATCTCTTTCATTCTATTTATCTTTATCTTTTCAAGTGTTCTTTGTTTTGCTCTTAATCTACCTTTCAGCCCTAGGCAAGAGTAGCCCAATTTAGTCTTCATCTTGTATTTCGTTACAACATCATTGTTTACCAGATTCTTTAAAACATCTTTTTCAGTTTGGGATTCAGCTTTGGAATATTGAGTTAATAATGACTCTTTCAAGACGTACCCTTCGAATATTGCTTTTTTTACTTTTTCTTTTTCAGGACTAGGAATATATGGAACATTTTCTTGTATGAATCTCTCTGTTTTTGAGAATGGTGTGGTCAATTCTTTATTTTCAATGACTGTATTTTTATCTACGGTTTGGTTTTCTTCAAATTTCTTTTTTAAGGTATCTAAGGATTGTTCTAAGTTTTGCATCTTTCTCTTGCATCGATATATAGTTTTTCTTTGGGTTCTTAACATTCTAGTCATTTGTTCAATATTAGCTCTTAATTTAAAATTTTCTTTTGCTAATAGGTACCGAACCTGGCGTTTGTCTTTTTGATCTTTTTGCTCAATATTTGGTTCCTCTTTCATTTTTTGTTTTTGATGCCGCCATTTTTTTCGTTGTTCTTTTTTCAAAGTTTCAGATAATTGGGTAATTTTTTTATAATTCTGTTTGGTTCTAGCAGCGTTTTCTTTTTTTAACAGTTCTAGTTTTTCAGGATTTTCTAGTTTTAATTTTTCTCGATATTTTCTTTGACGTTCTGCTGAAGTCATTGGAGCCATTTTCCGTTATCTACAGACAAATAACATTATTTTATTGACTAACTTTAAAACAAAATTAATATCTTACCTACTGCGTATCTCCGTGGGTATGCAAAAATAAAAATATTCTACACTTTACAAGCTATTAAAATGTAAATCGCATCAAAATCCGTTCATTCGCATAAAAGAGTAGTTTTTGCGTGATGCTCGAACAAATAAACAAAACGACAAAAAAAAGTTTTATCGATCGACTTTCTAATATTCTATACGGCCTGTTTTTACGACAAATTATAAATTAATTTACGACACTTTGTATAAAAGTTTTATAATAGTTTATTTAAAGATGAGAAAATGTTATGCTAATATAAATCATTTATTCATTCAGGCAGTGTACACTAAGCTTAATCCTTTGTGTAACGTTACACACGTTACACAAAGTAACTAAAATCACGGCGTCAACGAAAGAGGTTACTCAAACTAGTTGCAAAGAAAGTTCTTGCTAGAATGATTTAACTTCCATTTGTATTTGTTGATAACGAATGAAACCACACTATTCAGTACAAATGAAAGGTACACTGATGTGCTTACCTATTAAATCCTCGTTATACAGCAGAATTAATTAGACGACAAAACTCGAGCGCCACACGTCTAAGTCCAAATTGTAAAAACAAACATGGCCGTTTTGTCATTTATTGGGTTGGGAGTACCGTAAATTATTGCCAGACTAAAATAAATTTAAGAATGCGTTCAGAAGAGCTTAAATATCTGTGATTTTGCCGTTACACATAGGAGTTACACAAAGTATTACAAAAGTGGACATTTAATGAAATTCATTTTTTAGTGCTTAAATATGATATTATAAAACGATTATTCGTTTTTTTAAATAAAATGGCATCTCAGCTTACATTAAATCATAACACATTTATTAATAGTTAAAAAACAAAGCAACAATGAATGTTTTCACATGCGAGAGTATAAGTGAGACAGCATCATCAGCAGCATAATTGTATAGAAAAAAATGAAGGCCCCTCATATTTTTTTGTGATTTTCTATAATTTTAACATATCCTAGATAGTAAAGGGATTTCAACTTCAAACTAGAAGTAATATATAACATTATGAACAGACAAAAAATACTACAGGTTCTTAATATTATTGTATTTTCGTGTGAGGACAAGACACTTGAGCGTTATGTACAACTTTTTTGAAAATGACTCACATATAATATAATTTGGGACAGTTTAGTTAAAAAATACCAAGATAAACGAAACTTAGGTGTCCATTATCTCAATAATATTTTAGATATTAAAAATTGCACGGAAACTTCAGCCAGTTTAAATTCGTTTATAGAAAAATATTCCTCGTCGCTAGCAGCGCTTAAGCAGTTAGGTATACCCGATTTAACGGATTTTATAATATTACAATGTGGTTTACGAAAAATAGATTCACAAACAATACAAAATTTCGAAGTCTCCGTTTGCGATAAAGAGATACCTACATGTCGTGAATTTATTTCTTTCATACAAGATCACGTTAAAGTTCTTGAACGCTCACGTAATAATAATTCCCAGACAGATTCACGAAATATTACTAGTATACATCGTAAGAATATTTCGCAGAGTTCATCGTCTTATAATAATAACAACGCCTTTAAATCTTTCGTTTCTAGTAATGAGAAATTACCTTCGCATAATTTTATTGAGAGTGACCGATGTATTTTATGCAATAAGGTCGATCATTATAAGTTATACAACTGCCCGCAATATAAAAATATTAGCGATGTTCGTAAACGTTTTGAAATTATTAAATCTAAGAATGGTTGTGTTAATTGTCTTAGTTTATTGCATACAGTTAGTAAATGTCGCTCAAATAATGTTTGTTTCGAATGCAAAGGACGTCATCACACTTCTTTACATTTTAATCAAGTACATAAAATTTCTTGCGCTGTTACGTCGAATCGAACAAAGCATTTTTCTCCCGCTGTATCTACTAACGAGCATCGATCGCGCGGCCCTCCTCAGATGCCTCAACGCACTGAGCGCCCGGTGACTCAAACGACATTTGGTACTGCGCCACAGTGCAGTGAAGCAACCAGTAGCTCCGCTTCGCAACTTAATAATAAAGATGCTTCGATTTCACTTAGTTCTGAGCTGAAACCAAGTAATACTATTTTATTATCGACCGCACAAGTTTATGCGAAACATTATAATAATAACGATAAATTATTAGTGCGTTTTTTAATAGATAATGGTTCGCAAAATAATTTAATAACGGTAGATTGTTGTAAACGCTTAAACTATTGTATTACAAAATTGCATAACGCATCTTTGCAAGGTGTTGGTATGACCTCGCGACCTGTTCACGGTTTTATTAATTTTGATATCGAATCTCGCGCTTATCCTGGTAATAAATATACCATTTACGCACTCGTCGTAGATTGCATTACTGACAAACTTCCTGCAAATTATATTGAAATAAGCGAAGATAAATCTTACTTAAATAATTTACCGCTCGCTGATTTGACCTGGAATATTCCAAGTGAAATAGATGTAGTCCTGGGTGTGCAACTATTTCCATATATTTACTTAGGTGATAGGGTACATTCCGATACTAGTGCACCACCCGCTATACTTACGAGTTTTGGTTATGTGCTTATGGGTGACGTCCCGTGCAACACCGACCCACTTTCGCCGCCAATCAGACAGCAACCTTCTGCTTCTTTCACCGTACTTACGCAAATTGATATTGAATCAAGTTTGCAGAAATTCTTTGAACTAGAAGAAGTGCCCGTTAAACGTTTCTTTAGTCCAAACGAAACGGAATGTGAAAATATTTTTAAATCTTCAGTTGTTTTTCGAGATGATAAATATTTTGTCGATTTACCTTTCTGTCAGGATCCTAATAAATTAGGAAATTCGTGCACAGTAGCACTTCGCCGTTTTTTTGCGTTGGAACGTAAATTCAAACAAATCAATGGCTTACGCGAAGATTATAATAAAACTATTATGGATTATATACATAATGGTTATTTATCGCAAGTTCCCGAATCTGAATTAATAGATGAAGGTTGCTATATTCCGCATCAAGCTGTTATACGACCAGACAAAGACAATATTCGCGTCGTGTTGGACGCTAGTTCTAAAACGCATTCTGGAGTGTCACTCAATGACGTTCTCCATGTCGGACCTAACCTACAGGCCCATTTATTTTTGTTATTAATTAATTTTAGAATATTTCCTATAGCGATGACTGCTGATATAAAACAAATGTTTTTTCGTATCGGTATAAATGAACACCACCGCAAATATATAAGAATATTATATCGGTTTCACGAGAGTGATCCAATCTGAGCTTCCCCTTATGGACACATTGTCTGAACGCGTTAGTTCCTGGAATAAGTTACTAAAAATATTTATTTATATACTTAAATTTACTAAACGCTTGTCAAGTAATGAACTCGTACAAAGTATAAACGCAGAAGAATTATTTATTGTGAAGGCTGTTCAAAATATTCACTTCGCAAATGATATTCAAGCGCTTCAATCCGGCGAATTACCGTCGAAAAAATTACGCAAGTTATCCGTTTTCTTAGATACAAATTGTGTACTCCGCATTGGTGGTAGGCTTTCTAAGTCTGACTTACCTTTTGAAGTTAAACATCCCCCTCTTCTTCCAAAACGAAGTAGGATAATTGACCTTATTATTGATCACTATCACATCACTAATTTCCATACAGGTCCAGGCCTTCTTACGTCTATTATACGCCAACGCTTCTGTATTTTAGATGCTAGGACTACTACACGTGCTCGCTGTCGCTTATGCAACGACTGTTTCCGCTTAAACCCTAAACAATTGGCACTTTTAAAAAACATCTAAAAAAATATCTCTTAACTACTCAACTCAATAATAACAGGATCAAGTAAACTCACCATCGGAACTTTCACGGCGTGCATGCAAGGCTTGGGAGATAGGTGTCCGGCACGTTGTGGCTTGCTGTTAAGTTTGGTCCATTTTGTTGGATTCCTTGGGGGTAATGAGATGCTTTTATTGCGCTCCAACGTGGCAATAGGTACGTGGCATCCATCCATTCCATTAGATCGTACAAAGGTACAAAGTACAAAATGCACCACAGATTGGAGGGATGTCATAATGACAGCGTTGTCTGTGAGCGGGGGTGCGTTCGGAACGTTGGAGTGCGTTCGGTTGCTGGGCTGCGTTCCTAGTTTACGTGCCGGTCTTAAAAATCGGCTCTTTCGTCAAAGCTAGTTTTATATATGTAAATGTATTTTTATTTATGAAAATTATGTTCTATATATATATATATATCTCTGTGTGTGTATGTATGTGTACGTGCTGTGTATGAATATATATGCGTATCTGTGGATGTGCGTGCATGTACGAGTATGTATATATAGTTAATGTGCAATTGTCTGACATGTGCTTAAGATGTAATTTTATAAATTTAATTATTAATAATTATTATTATTATTAATTTTTGATTGTATTTTACATTACACAACTTGTATTTATACTGTGTGACACAGCAATCAAAATGTAAGTGAACATATATTATTTCTCTGATAAAGATTTAATGGCGGTGTGGATTCTGGTATGTTTTTCTAGACCTGAACTTGGTTTTGCAGTGGTGTATCCTTGTCATTCTCTATACAGACTGAAAGGGGGGGACTGATGTTTGATTGGTTTTGGGTTGGTAGAGTATTGCCAGGGTCGACAACAGTGTTTAGGTAATCACATGCATGTGTCCTGCCGTTGTGTTTATAGTTTGTTATAATAATGTACACTGGTACCTATATGTATTTTTTTTTTTCTATCTTAGTAACATAGTATCCATGTGTGGTTATGAGTAGTCATGCTCTCTTAAAAATCTCTTCGGTGGTGTCGTGTGAGGCGGGTCGTTGCGTTCCCTAAAAAATGGTTGAGCGAAGCGATGGCTGGTTCATGCGTCATGCTCGTGAACGGGTGCTGCCAGCGGAGATGAGTCTGCTCTTAATTCACTGGGTA